GGGGGAGGCAATAGGACAAAGGGCGGGGCATTACACAAGAGGGAGAGTCAGTAGGACAAAGGACGGGGCATTACACAAGAGGGAGAGTCAGTAGGACAAAGGGCGGGCATTACATAAGAGGGAGAGTCAGTACGACGAGGGGCGGGGCATTATAGAGGAGGGAGAGTCAGTACGACTAGGGGCCGGGCTTTATACAAGAGGAAGAGTCGGTAGGACCAGGGGCGGGGCATTATACAAGAGGGAGAGTCAGTAGGGGCGGGGCATTATACAAGAGGGAGAGTCAGTAGGACCAGGGGCGGGGCTTTATACAAGAGGGAGAGTCAGTAGGATCAGGGGGGGGCTTTATACAAGAGGGAGAGTCAGTAGGATCAGGGGCGGGGCTTTATACAAGAGGGGGAGTCAGTAGGACCAGGGGTGGGGCATTATACAAGAGGGAGGGGCCTCTGTGTGTCTCCAGCCTTCCGTCCACCCATGCTTTTTAGGGGGGTGACTCTTGATTGCTGTTCAGTTAAGGAATAACTCCCGTCAAACAAGAACATAGTTGATGCAGAGAGTCAGCACGGAGCCAGTGAGAGCTCCCTCTAGTGGGTAATCTGCAATTCTCCATGTTTAACACTGAGCAGAGAGGCCGTGTGATCGTAGTGGATGCTCTGCTTCTAGGGGCTATTCTATACCTCTCATATCTAATATCACAAAACATTTCAATGCGTGCTTCTAGAAATGTCAATGCGTCGCATCCAAAATGACAAATATTCCCAGATGACCTCACTGAAAATACAATAAATAATTCTTCTCTCCATCAGACACTTTTGTCATCCGCCTGTTTGATCGGAGCGTAGACTTGGCGCAGTTTACAGAAGACACGCCCCTTTATCCCGTGTGCCGAGCCTGGCTACGCAACGCGCCTGCAGCAAAGGCCCCCGAACGGCCATCAACGCCCACGCCGTCGGAGGAGGTAGTGCATGGTTTCATTGTGGACTGGCTGTTCTAATGACAGGTTCCCTTTAAGCTGATATTTTGTTGAGTACTTTGATCCCCTTGAGGGGGATCCCCAAGGGGTACCTCTGACTGGACACCTCTGCTATAATGGAGCTCTGAGAGGTAAACTCTTGGGGGAGGCATGGAATGGGTTAGTTCATCGTCCTAATGAGGTCGTTTCATTCTCTGTTTCCTTTTCAGGGTGACGTGGTGAACGGGAGCTCTCAGAACATCTTCCACCTACCTTCTCCCACACCGAGTCCGGTGACTGAGGGCGGAGAGCCGGTAAACTTGAGGATACCATCCCCCATCCCTCGGGACGAAGACCAGCTCAACCTCAGTCTAGTAAGATTATTGTTCTTTATTATTCCAATGAAGATACAATGGGAACATTTAGGGCGGGGTATTATTATATAAGTATGGATGCAACAATACCGTTTTATTCTATATCGAGTACCGATATTTTTTTCCCGGTACTCACCGATACCGGAAGTCCCATTTAAGGCAGGCGGGCGGCGTGTAATGACTCGCAGCCCGGCTTCTCGATTAGCCGGGAAGCCGGCTCCATGCGAGAAGTCGGGGGCGAGTAATGACTTTCCGCCCGCCTTCCTGACCAATCAGGAAGCTGGGCAGCGAGTCATTACTCGCTTCCTGATTGGCTGGGGAAGCCAGCTCCATGCTCCCTGGTGACATAGGCATCGGGAGCATTTGGGCAAGTACTAGTATCGGTATCGGTGATTCTCTAATTAAAAGAGAAGTGTAACTTGAAATGAAAAGCCAGGATTCCATAACCATGTGACATTTACAGTCCTTGGCGCTCTATGGCGCACCCAGCTCCCTTTCCACCTCAGGTCATGTGCCTGCTAGATGCCATTATTTTATACAGCCAGACCAGCACTCAATCTGTGCATAGGAGTGTTATAACTCGCCTCAGGGAAAACATTAACCCCTCTAACCCGTCCTGCACTTGTTTCTTCTTCTTACCTTGTGAAGCACAATATAATCGCTTACATTCGCTGTCTCCTTGCCGTTGCTGTTTCTGGGAGCCGGGTACCGTTAGCACTGCAGAAGTGCGCACAGCTCGGTACCTGGGCAACTGTGCAAGACTAGAGGGAAGGGCAGAATTTCGATTTAAAAATGCGCTGGGGATCTTTTGTATTGTTGCAAATATTTCATCTTTCATACTTTCTGTCAGCCAACAGAGCAGTCCCCGAGCATGACCACCCTCATCCGTCGCAACATGGACCGATGGAAGAATGTCCGGCAAAGGTGAGTGACATATCTGCTATAGAGCTTGTAGTCACATAAACCCTCTCTCTCCCTCTCTCTCCTCTTTCCTTCTCTCTCCCCCTCTCTCTCCTCTTTCCTTCTCTCTCCCCCTCTCTCTCCTGTGTCGGCGGCCATCTTGGTAGAGGCAGAGCTTTGTCTTCTCATGTCAGGGCTGTATCCCTGATTACCAGTGGGGTAGAGACGAAGGAGCAGCAGGAGAGGCAGGACATTTCTCCTTTTACATCCTGTCTCAGTGTACACCTGTGTATACCTGGCCTTGAAGGGATGCTTTCCAGCAATACAGAAGTGTCCCTTTATTCCTCCAGCAGTTCCGCTTCATGAATGTTTTGCTTTGCAGGTGGAAAGACGCATCTTACCAGAATCAGCAGCGCTACGGCCAGAGTATGAAGATCCTGAAAGAGATGTATGAGCGCCAGTAACCCCACCATTGACGCAGCCCGGGCCTCCGCTGAGTATTTTATTTACCGCCATGTTTTTATATCGCACTTCTGTCTGTGTGGGGCTACTAAAGGGAAACTGGGACAAGATGGAGCTGTTCCTCATACCGGTTAATTGGGTGTTTGCTTTTTTTTTTTCTTTGTAACGTGCTATGGACAGAAAGCTGCAACCTGATTGGCTGCCATAGGCATGGAATTTGTTCCATGCCAGAGATCCATAAATCAGACCTGGGTTTGTAGATGAGAGGTGAAGACATGAGCTATGTAAGGTTGTGTCTGTCACATTAGCACCCAGTTTCCGCCCGGTATATATGACAGCTGATCGCAAGCGTTACCCTTAGATACCCCTACAGGGTACAGAATATATAGAGAGAGCTCTCCCTTTAAGAATTCCCAGTTCTTCCCCAACTGCTATGTTACCCTATTCATACTGCTGGGGCACCGAGTGTGCTCCCAGCCCAACACTGCAGCCCCCCATATGATACATGTGGCAGCATGTGGTGGGCTCTATGCCATGCTGCCACATATATCGTACTGGTGGCAATAAGGGGTTAGAGGGCAGCAGGTTCACTCTAATGTCATCCCAGCGTCTGCACTTCCTTCCACCTGCAGCTGGGAGCAAACCGAGGAAACTCTGTACACCCCAACTCAGAGCCTAGAGCTTACGTAAGCCTGGGGACTCTCTTCCCACTCCATGTGATAATGCTGGATGTCTGAGCAGCCAATCCCCAAACACCAGTATAGTCACATGGGAGGGGAATGAGTCACATGCTCCCCCAGACCTGGAACTACCGGGTACCTTTATTTCTTCCCAGCA